TGCTTTTCATATTTTAATCCAAAGGCCAATTTGTATTATTTCCCTTCAGTACATTTTATCTGATCTTATTATTTCCTCAACAGGTCATTATCTTGTTATTCCAATTTGTTTCATGTATCAAAGTTAATATTTAAAAATGCTCTTTGATTAATGGTTAATGTGGCTGGTTTCCAGTAGCCTGTTCCTGAAGTTTTTTCTCTGAGTGAAGGAGGGCACTGTTTTCCCAGAATTCCTCCTCAATGTCCGAGGTCACACCCGAACACTCATTGCTCAACTTGTCATTATATAACCCGACAGTAAGGTCACGTTTACTCAGGTTCTTCTACTCGGGGCTCACATTGATAGCCTAACCAGTGTAGCTATATTCAATATCAACCATGTATTGTACCTACATTACCTAAAGTGCCATCAACATGTTTTACCTTTACTGGGTAGCAGACTCTAAAACACATGTGTCAAACTCAAGGCCCGGGGGCCAAATCAGGCCCTTGGTGGATTTAATTTCGGCCCGCAGGATAATTTCTAATTACTATTAGATCTGGCCCGCCGGTATATTGCACGCACACCTTCACTCCATCCTGAGGGTCTCCTCAGCTCAGAGCCTGACCCCGAACATTGATGAACTTGCACCCAAGATGAGATGCCAAGTATCTGGCTTGAGCTAGCATCACAGAGCAGCACACTGAGTTTACATGGATGTTTCCTTCTGCACTTTGTTTCTTGCGACAACAGGGCATGTTTGGTTTGTTCTTTGAGGGGAATAGTTTTTTTGAAGCTGTTACTGAAAAATGTAATCATAAGAAATGACTCTGGAAAAGCTCCAGATAGAGCCATAAGAAATGAATGCAACTGATTATTTAATGTTTAATGTTGTTTTTATCGGCAATAATTTAAGCTTTGTTAGTTCCAGATTTAATATGTGCAATAAGTTCATTTCAATAAGTTCTGCAATAAACATTGAACCAGTCCGGCCCTCGACTAGTACCTATTTTTTAATTTTGGCCCACTGTGTATTTGAGTTTGACACCCCTGCTCTAAGACATCATTATTAAACACTAGCAATCATCATATGTGCCTTTTCTGTGTGGTTTCACCTACTCACAGTAACAGTAGGATAGTGTTGGTGTGTTACTACGGAAATATAGTGTTGAGAGTCACAGTTTCTAACGTTCTATCTTCGGGATTGTGGGAAACAGTATTTCAATTTCTCTGAATGTACACACAAACTGAAAGATTGACAATAGAGTTGGTAAAGAAACTATAAAATAGCTTATGTCATCAAAGAAAGAAGTTGTTTGGTTCTTTATTTCATGTTTTTCCACATACTCTTAACTGTTATTAACATACCCACAATGAAATACATGCCAAGGTTATATCAGATATAGCTTTCATTATAAAACTTTAAAAATGAGAAAATACGTTTTTCCGAATCAACAAAAGGCTTAAGAAATGTTAAAGCAAACTGAGCATTTCTTACTGTGACCATGTCTCATGAGACTGGCACGCTAGCAGGTGACTGACAGTCTATATAGATGTCCACGCTCACATACAAACATGCATGCAACACACGTGGATACAGGACTTGCTATGTTCAAAAACTTCCACTACGACCCACTAAAAGTTGTGTTTTCTTTTTTTCGTTGGCTTTCCCATTCGACTTTGGAAAAAGTAATTGGTCACTTTGTTATAATGAATTTGATTGCAACAAAATATCAAGACGATAACTTCTTCTTATAACACTTTTGCTAATGTCAATAACGTTTTTAATATGAATAAAAACAACTAGAATAACCCTAAAGCCATGTTATCACCAGCATTAAAAACAACCACCATTGAGTAGATCAAGGGTCAGAGTTACTGAACCTTGACAGTGTTCTTGTATGAAGAGAATACTACAGTCCACCATTAAGTAATAAGAGATGTGAGACATGCGGATAGGCGGATGTTTTTTCTTCATGAAGGAAGCCCCTGTTTTTGGAGCTTTGCCTCTTTCCTGTGTCGATACCTGAAACCCACGATTGGCTTCGCCTCGACTCGTGAGTGCACTGACAAACAAAAGTTCACTTGTATAAATGACAAGCAATATGCCAAAAACCCATTTGCTTTGTCATTCCTTTGGTTAGCTGATCTCTTAATGTAGCCCTGGTAGAACATGTATTCTTGTGCTTATGACATTCAACAATTATGACATTAAAATATTGTATTACCAAATTAAAGCGTCCAAAAAGTCACTGATTTCTGCATGTCTTCTTCACATGTATCTGCTTCCATTTGGTTTAAATCTGTTATCCACCATTATAGTCTAAAAGTGTGACTGCTGGGATTTTAAATTATATTAATTTGATGTTTTAAGCCCTTTCCACTGCAGGAAATATTTTTTTAAAAGGCACTAAATATGGTCTGAGGTTGTCTAGTTAAATCTTCAATAGTGTATTTACTATAAGTAAGTGGAAGGATGTATCTTGTATTTGTTTGTAGAAGATTTTTTTTTCTTTTTCGAAATCTTAAAATTGCTCCAACATACACAGCTGTTACAATAGAGGCAACATCTTACTTTAAAGTAGGGTGACGTTGTCCCCAAATATTCTTAAAAGATCCAGCAACTTCCTCCCAGGAGTACACTTAGGTCCCATGACATGGCCATTTCTACTGATTATAATTCCATTGTTGAGCTCTACTAGAATAGATTTATATTGTGCGAGACACAGCAAAACCCAGCCCGAATCCAGCCCGAGCACACACACACACACACACACACCCGCAGCCTGGCTGTGAGTCTGTGTGTGTGCTCAGGCCGAGCCCAGGCCGAGCCTTGCCGCGTCCCGCCGTCTCAGGCTGAGTTCAGGCTGAGAAATCCGCGGAACTGCAGCTGAGAAAAGATTGAGTGTGTGTGTGTGAGGAAGTCCGCGGGAGCCGTTACGTCACTATACCCAAGAAGTAAACAATGGAAAAAGAGAAATCTTCAACGAGGCGTTCTGGGGCAGCATAGACAGGTATTTTCTGTGTTAGAGTTTTACTCGCTACAGGGTGTACTTTGAGGGTTTGTGACCCTGCAGACCGTTTACATGCATAAAAAGCTTCATAACACACAAGGGGACGGGTAATAACCAGAAAAGCATGACATGGGACCTTTAAGTTAAGATGTGTTTTGTTGAAAACATACTGTTGTCTTTAATGTGTGCATATATATAAATGTGTCTGTTGGTTTTGTATATATATGTTTATACATATTGTTGTACATATTTGTATTCTGTATTCGTCTGGATTGTGGCAAACAGTATTTTGATCTCTCTGTCTACATACAAACTGAAAGATTGACAATAAAGTTGACTTTGACTTGAGCTTTGACTTTGATACTGCATTTTGATTACCTTCAAAAGTTCAAAAGAAGATCCTTGAATTATATGTTTATGCTCAAAGTCTAAATATTAATTATGAAAACTTAATCTTGAAGCCAAAGCCAGCAATCTCCATTGATTGACGAAATATTGAAATCATGGCTCAACATTGTATGGTAAAAGCATATCGTTTTTTTGTTGTTTCAGGTACAGTAGGTAATAAAATAATAATAACAATACATGGGATTTGCATAGCGCTTTTCCTAATGCTCAAAGACGCTTCACATACAATCAGAACAGAAACAAGACAAAAGAAAATAACATAAACAATAGTGGCCATGTTCCTTGTCCTGTATTATTTGTTCGGGTGTTGACAGTTTGACGTGTTTACCCATCTGCAGACAAAGCTGTGGTGTTTGTTTGTATTCCCATTTTCTCAAATTCTTCAGTTAAGTAAGAGAAACCATCCACCCTGAGCTCAGCTGTGTCCACTTTCACACCCCATGCAGCTAGGCATTCATACCGTACTCGCAAATAACACACATCCCTGCCTGAAAAACCTTTATTAAGTTTCTTGTTAGACGTTTTGTCAAAGAGAATTACTAGCTTGAACTTGGAGCTCTTTGTTCCATCTACGCTCAGGGCTGATATTTTTTCGACAGACATTAAAACAGCATGAAATTGATTCCAATGAAATATCCAGTGGTATTGTATAAGTGATCACACTTTGGTCATTTCACATTCCACACTGGCTTACATTTAGCTGCTACTGCTATAACGTAAGAAACCAGCATTGTACTTACAAGATTCAAGATTCAAGGCTTTTATTGTCATTCGTACATAGCTACAGTGTAGTTATGTCGAGGAACATCTTAGGTCACAGGCTCCTCCAACAGTGCAACACAATAACACAGATAAAATAGTGCAAGTAAATACAATACAATAGAATAGAAGTAGTCCCATAAGAGTCTATATTCAAGTGATTCATAATTTGTGAGTTGCAAACAGGTGAATGTTATGGATGCTCTTAGTTCAGTTACCTTTCTATTTGTCTGTTAGTTAAAGCATAATCATTATAGTAATAATATATGAATAACATTCACTTTTTACGCTGCTATGGACAGTTTTTGCACTCTCATTTGCACTATGTACATCATCTTTCTTTACATATATCCTGCTTACTTGAAGTAAACGGTTATTTTGTGGGTTTTTGTAATTATTGAGTGTTCTTGCATTTTAATGTGTGTTTTTTTATACCTCGGGACTGTGGGAAACAGTATTTCGATCTTTCTGTGTGTACAAACATATTTTGAGACTGACAATAAAGTTGACTTTGACTTTGAATAATGATTATTTGTATTAACAGCTCGTTACAGGATGTGTATTATGTAAATTGTGTATATTTTCTTTTTTTATCTTAATATTTTTTAATGAATGCTTCTTAGGTAACATTAAGCTGTCTTTGGCTCTTTTCTTACTTTAACAAATACAAATGTTCCCTCTGTCGGACGTATAAAGGTATTCTGATTCTGATTCTTCTGATTGTTCATAATCAAAAGTTAAGCAAGTGACTCATTTGAAACCCTCACCCAGGGTTTGACACTTTGATTTTGTTAGTGTCACAAATCCAAACCTAAAAAATAACACAAAATAAAAACTTACCCCAAATGCAGGATTGATCGTCCCCTGATCTTTGCTTCCCAGCTCTATGTTCTCCTCTGTAGTGAGCCGCATTATATTAAAATGAGGCAAAATAAAGGATAGTTTTTTTGGTGGACTCCGCACAGATCAACAAGCACACACGGTGGGAGTTAAACTCTGACTGACGGACCGCAGAGCTACAAAGACAACATGAGTCCCACGTCGCCAGGGCACTGAGTCTCACAGTCAGAAACAGAGTGGCTCAATTATTTTGTAATCTCTGAAACGTTGCTTGTTTGCTGCTAAGCCAATGTGGGCTTTAGTAACTCTTTCTTACGGTCATGTGCCTGCTGTTGTGTGACGATGGATATGAGAGGAGAGCAGCACGTTGTCACATGAATGTTCAATTTGTCATACTTATTAGGAAGGTCTGCTCTTATCAAAAGTTTGGAGTTAATAAATTGAAGTGACTGTTATTTTGTATATATTGATTGTTGTGTTTTTTTATCTTAATGTGTGCATATGTGTAAATGTGTCTGTTGATTGTGTATAGGATATACATATTTTATACATAGCTGTATACTGTATAATTTTACATCCGAAACGTCATTTCGATCTCTGTCTGTAAACACAAACTGAGTAAGATTGACATTAAAGTTGACTTTGATTTGGGTCGTAGCATTGGGTTTTTACTGGATCGACTTCTGGGGTTTGATTTGATTATTGGCTGTTTTAAAATTGGCTGTTTTAAAATGGTTAATACAGTAGTTCACAATGGAAACCATGTAATCACCGGTCAACTTACGTTACCTGACAATGAGGTAGTGGGATATTGTCATTAATATCAATGAAAGTCCCTTTGGTTTGCTGATTTCTTAATGTAGCCCTGGTAGAACATGTATTCTTGTGTTTATATGACATTCAACAATTATGACGTCCAAACAAAACTGATTTCTGCATTTCGTCTATACTTGTATCCTTTTCTGCTTCCATTTTAGTCTGGTCTAAATCTGTTATCCACCATTATAGTCTAAAAGTGTGAATGCTAATGTTTTAAGGCCTTTCTACTGCATTAAATCTTTAAAAAAAGGGCACTAAATATGGTCTGAGGTTGCCTTGTTAAATCTTAAATAGTGTATTTATTTCTGTAAGTGCAATCTTGTATTTGTTTGTAGTTTTAAACAATAAAGTGACACCATTACATAAGCAAGCAAAGGAAATCTTAAAATTGTTCTAACATACACAGCTGTTACAATAGAGGTAACATCTTATCTTAGGTCTGCTCTTATCAAACGTTTGGAGTTAATGCATTTGGGTCGTAGCATAGTGGATCGACTTATGGCGCTAGATTTGATTATTGGCTGTTTTAACATATTTTTTATTTTTGATACAGTAGTTCACAATGGAGACCATAGGCGCTTTCACACCGGAGTACTTTTCCCAGGAATAGTTCCGATAGTTCCTGGGATTTTGCGTTCACACCAAAAAGACCTGGAACTAGAACTTTTTTTCGGGAACCTTTTCACCCCTTTTCAGTCCCTGCTAGAGAGCAGGTACTTTCCTGGGGAGAAAAAGGTTCCAATTTCTGATTGGCTGGGCGAATTGCAAACCACGCCCCGTATAACGCCGAAAAGTTTTTGTGAAGCCGCCATTTTATTTGCTCGCATTAGCATTATTAGCATTAGCATTAGCCCAGCGCACAAACGCAGAGAGACTAACTTATGGCAACACAAAATAAAACATGGGAGCGGTGGAGATGAGGAGGTGTTGGCGTTCTGGCGATTTACTCGGAAGGTCCTCCGGGGACTTCCAGCCAGGGACTTCGGGTGGCAGTATACGCCGTGAAGTTGTTTGCAGCCTGCCAGTAAACCCAAAGCAGAAGAAGAAGAAGTGACGTCAGCGGCTTCATTTGCGTAATCTTCCCTCAGGGACTTATTCCGGTGTGAACGCGATCTACTAGATAGTTCAGGAATTAAAGATTTCCGGGGAATTAAGTTCCGGGAACTATTCCTGGGATAAGTAGTTGGTGTGAAAGCGCCTCATGTAATTACCGGTCAACTTAGGTTACCTGACAATGAGGTAGTGTGATATTGTCATTAGTATCAATGAATGAAGGTCCCTGACAAATCATTCTGCTCCGCCATCAAATATATGCCCCAAGGCTAGGTGTAACATTAAGCTGTCTTTGGCTCTTTTCTTGCTGTAACAAATCCAAATTTTCCCTCTGTGGGACGAATAAAGGTATTCTGATTCTGATTCTGGTGTCCACGGCATCTTTTCTGGCAGAAAGGCGCCGAGGAGAACCTTTTAACAGCATTTCATCAAAAAAAAATGCTCCCGGAATTTGTTAACTGTTTATTTTACACCGATTTTGTGAAACTAAATCTATGTGTGCTACCTTATATTAGTTTGACATTGTTTTTTCACCATTACAACCAACAACTAGATTCTTGCTCTCCCACTTTGTATGAATGAGCCTCACCGCTTGCCGTAGAGCAAGTAAAACTACAAACAGCGATTAAAACATACTCAGCGTGTGCCCGGCTAAACTTCTTCCACAATAAGGGCTTTTGGTCTTTGTTATGAGTATTAATCTGAAACATACAGCAAAAAACTGCTTCTTCATCCTTTTCTACAGTGACTGCACCTGCGCTTTTCGGAAAAGTTCAAATGTTTCCACATCTTTTTTGACTCGAAACCCTGGCAGAGACCACTCAGAAAGAAATACCTTAAATACAAGTTAAAAGGAGGGCCAATCAGCACAAGCACGCTACTTATATTCACTAAATGCATGTTCAAGATGGAGCTTTCAATTATAATTTAATAGATGTTTTTTTTATCTGAATCTGCAACATAACCATAACATTTCTGAAGTGAATGTAGTACTACAATGTTTCCTGTAGAAGTAGCCGTACAGTCACTGACTTGCCCATGTTCTGCCCTGCACTGGTACATATAAACACAGAACAAGTTTCAAAGCTAGGCTTGTTCATTATTGTATTTTTTTCAATATTATTCAAAAAAAAGTTACTCTGACTGTAATTCAGGGACAATAGTCATACTTAAATGTGAACGTATCAATGTGTGAGATGAATTAGTACCTTTCTTAGGTCAATAAAACATTAACCTGTTAAGCCCTGAGCCTGTTTTTCAGGTCTCAGGCTCGAAAATGACATTCCCAGAACAAATTACCATATCTTCCGTTCTAAAAGGGTTAAATTAATAATCTTTTTTCTCAAAGTAATGATAAACCTGTGAGTTGGATGTAGAAAAGTCAGAATCAATATAGATGTTTTTTATTTTAAAGAAAATTCAGATTTTACATAGTAAAAAACTGTAAATTATAGTGTCCGTCCAAATATTATTTTTTACTTATAGTGAAAACTACCCTTGGATGATGGGTTAGTAGACTAAAAGCTTTAGGAATCCAAAGTACAACATATAATAAGTACCCTGTATCAAGATTGATGCAAAACAAGTGACATTTGACCTTTTTAGAGAGATTTAGCAAAAAGAAACCACTTCTGGGGTCATTTGGGTGGATTTTCCATATCTCTGGCCCCCCTTGCTCGATTTTGATGGTTGACACCTCTTTCTGACCGTTAGAGCCAATAGAATCGAAGGGGGAGTCCCCCACACACACTCATTGTGAAGAGAAAAGGTGGGGGCTTTGCGCATGCAGTTTTCCATCAGAGTGAACCTATCTCTAGCTTTGACATCTGGAAACGGAAAAGCAGTTTTAATGCTTATGGATTATCAGAAATCATTTCAAAGGGACACAGACACATTGGATTAACCTATGGATTAACTTCAACAGCGTTTTTATCGTTTTAATGCCATTGAAGACCACTTTGGAGAGACTACAGAGCCAAGGTAAAAATGTTAGCATTTTTAGCTACCTAGCGTCACCTGTTTTGATGTCCGTTTTTGCTTATAACGTCGCAAATACGTATAATTCAGTGTTAATGTTGGTGTCAATCGATTCTGTGTCACCTCACGATGTGAAACGATGTGTTGGATGTGGTGAAAAGATAAATAATAAGGTTTTGTGAGTGATTTTCGGTGCAGTAAGGTGTTTTTCGCTCGTTGCTAATTCAGAGGCTCAGTGTTAGCATTGTGGGTTTTCTTTTGAAAAATAAATAAAAATGATCAGTTAGATGAGTTTCTTCCCGTTACATGGATATAAAACATTCATAGTTGTATTAAATGAACATGCCCTCAGACACTGTTTCCTGCAAGATGTTGCGGCAGTGCCCTGGTACCGGGGTCTCTCGGGCTTAACAGGTTAAGATACCAATAATAAAACAATCTAAAAACTCGAACCAAAAGCTAATTAATTACATTAACTCACTTTCTCTCTGTCTTGATCCCTTACAGAACTGCTGGATGTGAATCATTCAGAAACGTTTTATTCAGTCCTTAAAATCTTTGAAATGTGCCCACAATAGAGTGGTGCAGGGATGACGTATTTTTGTAGGCCGACCCGGAAGTAAGCTGCACATGGGTTCCCTCGTCAAAAAAGCAATGGGATTTCTCCATAGGATTTTGGAATATTGTAAAAAATAAGATCTGTGGAAAAGGAACCTGTTTGATAAATGCACGTTTTGTTCAGCCGGATAATCTCCACATGTCTACGCTCCTTTTATAATTTTTCGAATCATAAATCTAGTCGCCAGAAGCAAAATGCTAACGTTATGCTATAAACGAACTACAGCAGGGTCGCTGCTTCAACGTCACGCCAACTTAAGATTGATATTCAAAAATACAGATTCAAAATGGTACAATTGAAGCGTTTGTTTGAACAGTTTGCAGGAGGCAGGTACTTGCTTTCAAGAAGAACACGGGGAAAAACAAACTTCGCGGAGTGTTTACGTGTTCGGTGTAATGACGTACAACGTCCTCGACAACTTCTGTAGTCCTATTCAGCCACTTGTTAACAACCATCGTTTTTCAGACACGTAAACTCTTCAAAAAATCACCAGTTGGGTCACTGCTGATGTATTTAATATCGTAAAACAAAACGTGATCCGTCTCTTAAATGTGTTTCAACCACAGACCTTATTTCCAGATATTTTCCAACATCCTATGGAGAA